TTATTATCGAAACCGTAGCGGTTAATAAGGAGGGTAAATTCCTCTTCGAAGTCTTACTATTTTATTCCTTTAATTATTTTTAGTTTTTCTAATTCGCAACGGGAGTAGACGATAACGTTAACGTTATTATATTTTTTATTAAATTTATCGAATAATTCGAAGGTAATATTCTATTTAACGGGTTCGCTAGTAAGGATTTTATTAAATTCGATTTCAATAGCTTCGAAAGGAAGGCCTTCAATCGAGCGGGCAATTAATAAGAATTTAATATATTCGGTAATAAAAGTTTTTAATTTATTAATTTAGGTTAATTTAATATAGAGGCGCTAGGCGTAATATTTAATGATATGTTTAATAGAAGTACCTTTACTATTAAAAGTAAGGGATATAATAATACGTAATACTAATTTATAACTATTATTATTATTAGAGGTTATTATTTTAGGGTCCTCAGGGTTTTTATCGTCGTTAGGGTCTTTATTAGTAAGTAGGATAACTTCAAGTTCGAGGACGGGTTTAGCCTTAGAAGCGGCGATAAAATATTAATGAAAATTGTTAATGTACTTAAAATATTTATCGTATTATTTTTTATACGCCTTTTTCGAATTTGTGCGGAAGTCAGCGAATTTTTATTTTAGAGCGATAATATTATTATTAAGGGTATTAATAACGTTAAAATAAGTATTACGGATAGTAATAAATTCGTTAGCGTAGTTATTACGAAGGTTATAAATAGCTTTATTATAATTTCTAATTACATTTTATATATAGAAGAGGATTTAAATTTAAATTATAATAATATTAATATTGCAATATTTAATATCGTATTAGGTAGTAGCGAATTTAGCTTTATAAATTTCAAATTTTTCCTATACCTCTTAGACCTAAATACGGGCGGCGATAATATTATTATAGAGAAGGCAGTTAAAAGCCTTAAAAACTATTTGAAAAATAGGGAATTAAGCGAAATTAAATGCGTATTTAATAATAATATCGATTTAAACCGCTTAAGTATTAAAGAATTCAAAGGTTTAGGCAACGTTAGAATAATATTCTTGATTAATTAAATTTAAAATAGCGAAAGCGCCGATTACGGTAATAGTAAAAGAATTATTAGTTACCGAAGGAGTATATAAAACGATATCGGTAAATATTAATCATTAGATTAATACGCCGGGTAAATAAAAAGGAAAAAGAGAATACGAATTATTTAATAGTAATATTTAGTTAAGTAGTTTACTTAATTCGAAGCTAGGATTGTAATACCAAGTTTTAATTATATAGGGACGAATTTTAACTACGAATCGATAATACTAAATTAGCGATATTGTAACGATTAAAATTAATTATAACTACTCTTCCTTTAAATCAATACGTATAATACAATAGTAAAGTATAATAAATTATTACAGGGCGAAAGGGCACTATTAGGAGTAGAGTAAGATATATATTTTTATACGAGGCAAAGAAGGAGAAATATACGTAGAGAATTAGGTATATAGGCGGGAGCCTAGTAGGCTAGTCCGTATACGCGTACGTAAGGCTATACGTAATTAGGATATGTAATTAGTACGTGAGTGTATAGTTCTAGGCTATAGTACTAATTTTAGTATAGTATATATATAAATAGTGTAGTGCGATTACATTATAGGCTAGCCCTGTGATACTTCTCCCTCTTCTTCTCTTCATACAGTTATATATATCTAACCTACCCCTTAACTGTCGCCTTGCCACGTGATAATTAATTTTATTTCAAAATAGTCGTTCTTATTAATGTGACAGCGCTAGCGGATTGGGTTTGGGTGCTATATACGAAAGTAATTTACGAGGGTGCTGGAATGAGATATATAGAGGATTCTAAGTATAGTACGGTCTAAGGGATACGAACCCTTCAATTGGCTATGCCAAGACTAGCTATAGGGTAGATCCTAGTACGTATAGGGTTTGCTATATAGGTAAAGGGGATGCGAGTGAAGGGATTGGCTGATAGCGACTCGTATGTGGGTCCCGCTGTCGCTTGTGCAACTAGGGTATTTATTTGGGTCTGTACGCTTGTACTTAGTTCTCTTCTTCTTTTCTTTTCCCTATTTGAAATCTTTTGCTATAAATGGAATCTTAGTTTTGCCTTCGACTCACCTATATTGTGCCCTTACAATTAACTTTTTTAGAGGGTATTATTCTTTATAATTTATATTCTTATATACCCTACTGCTCCCGCATTATTAATATTAAGAATGATTATTTTTAAAACTTTCGTTTTATAATTCTTATAAATTATATATATTAATTCTTTTTAAATAATAAAGATTATTATTATAATAAATAATTATATATTTATTCGAATATTTATATATATACATATATAAATAATTTAATATAATTAGCTTCGTTATTAATAAGGTTCTTTAATTTAAGGGTATTAAAAATTGTTTCCTGCGGTGCCCTGACTGGCCTATAATGATAGCACCAGTACAAGGTTGCTACAGTGAACTATGCACTTGTAGCAGAGCGGAGCGGAAGCGGTAGGAAGTACGACAGCAATGCTGAAGGAAGCAGCGTAGTTGCAAGTACAATAAAAGGATGTTGTAAAAGAGGTCTTAGAGAGGACTCTGCTCTCAAGACAGAAGATTACAGTGGACTCTGCACTGTGAGAAAAGACTATATTGTATTGCTTGACTTGTGCTTGCTTGCTTAAGGAGTGACGAACTGAAGGAGAGGAGAGGTCTCTATATACATGGACACTAAGCATCTAGAAGCTTCTGTTGAATCCTGTGATGACAAATCAGTCTGGAAGAAATGCTAGCTAAGTTATAAGACTCTAGAATACAGTGGCAAAACCTCTTGTATTCTAGTACATTCTGTGGGGACTGAGTCAACTGATTCCGTAGAAGGAATAGTTCAACTAGCCTTCTATACTACAAGGTAGTACAAGGCAGTTACAAGGCACAGTACTAGCCACACGTTAACAAAAATTATATTCTTTAGGTTATAAGAATTCAAGTTTATTCTACCTTTATAGAAATTTAAAGAAAGATTTTTTAAAAAAAACTAAAAATAATAAAAGGGCCCTCGTTAAATTATAATTAATAATATAGAACGGTTCTTTTTATTATAAATAATATAAAGCCTTAGCGCTTTTAATTTAATAGAATTTAAAGGATTTATATAGTTTTAAAGGTTCAATTTCAGAGATTTTTATTATTAAGGAATTCTTTACCTTTATTTTTTAATAAGATATAGAAATATATTTAAATAAAATTAAAGTAATAATTAATAAATTGAATGTCAAGGAAATCGAATTACCTCTTTAAATCTTTATATTTTAAATTTTATTCAATTTGGAATAAGGATTTAAATATTAATTTTTCTCTATAATTTAAAAATTCAAAAAGGATTTTAAAGTTTATACTTTAAAAATACTAGTTTCGTCTTTATTAAAGGAATTTAAGCGTAAAGATTCTAATTGTAATAATATTTATTTTATTAATACATTGAATAATAATAAAGTGTTTGAATCTTATAATAAGAATTCTAATTCTTTTTAAATTTTAAAAGTAATTAAAAAGGTCAATTCCTATATTTATTATAAGAAATTTAATTATAAGTATATTAGGTATATTTTTCTTTATTCAAATAAGGTTCCCAAAAGTTTTAAGAAAATAAAGAAATATAACAGTTTTAATATTTCTTCTATAATTTTAAAAGTCGAAAATAATAAATTTATTAATAAAATTCTCGAAAATAGTTAAATAGTAAATAGAAGTATACTTAATATTCCAAATATTATTATTAAAAGGATTCAATTCATTAGATTATCAGATAATGTTAATTAAATATTAAAATTAAAAATTAAACAATTATTTAATAGTTTTCTTAAATTATATTATTCGGCTACGTTTAATAAAAATAATATAAATAATTATAAAAATATTTCTATAATCTATTTTAAATTTATAATTTATATTATTATTAATAAGAATTTCTTTTATACTTTTAAAGAAATTAAAAATGTAATTTCTTAAAAAAAGGTCTTTAAAGGTTTATATTAAATATTATAAATATATTAGTAAATCTTTTAATTATTTTATAAATAACTAACTTATATGAATAAATCATTTCATATTATAGTATATTAAAAATAATTGTTTTAATTCTATATAGTACGTATAAATTAATTGAATTAAAAGTATTATTTAATTGTCTAATATAAGAAGCGTTTATTATTTATCAAATACGATTATTCCTAATTAAAGGTAATTATTAGATATTAAATACTAAGACGGAACATACTATTCGTATAGAAATAACATATATATATATATAAATTAAAATAAAGTTCGTAGTAAAATAAAGTTAGAATTTCCCGTATATTAAATATGTTTAAACATTATTAATATAGTACAATTATATTCCCCTCTTGCGCTTCTATAGCAAAATCGCCTTAATTATTCTACGCTATTTAATGTTAGAGACAAAAATATCTTCCATTTCTTCCAATTTATTAAACGTTATTTTATTTATAATATTATCTTTCTTATCTTCCGTTTAAAGAACCTATACCTCCTCTACCTCCTCCTTCTTTATCTTCTTCTCCTTTAATTCCTTCTTAAAAGAGTATTTAGTAGCCTACCTAGCGTAGTAATAGTGCGTACAAACGCCGCCAAACTACTTTGGGTAAAGTATAATGTATTCGGCCGTTAAGAGGGGAGTGGTAGGGAAGTGTACGTACTAGTTGTACAATATTAAAGTATAAAAGTATAAAAAGAAAGTAATTAATTTAGCAAGGAAGAGTATATATACGTTTGTATATGGAATATTAATAATTTTTCCGATAAATAGTTATAATTAAGAGCTTAGACCAATTTTCAATTGAATATAGCCAACACTTGGGCCACCGTAGTCATGTGGGCTTGGCACTCTGCAGGGCGTGTCGGTCCCGACAATTGCAACTTTTTTTGTCTTCCCCTTCTTTCCTTTTCCACACCACGACCGGGTGAGACACCTCTCCTATCTCCTTCCTTCTTCCTGATATGCAAGTTTCCATTCCCACCCATCTCTTGTCATCGTTGCCGCCTCGCGCTGGATTCGTTGCGTGCTCTGGCATAGTCCGTCACAGCGGGGTCATAGCACCCGCGTTAGTGCATTATTTTTACGACACATTGATTGGAATAGAAATTGTTAAGCCTTCATCTCAACCCGCCAACCTTTCAACCACCTTCTCGCACAGAGCAATCAACGACCGCGCATTTGTTATGTCCAACGTGCTGACCTCGGCCCCAATCCTTCCTCTGACCCAGCTTCTCAACTCCACCGCTGACATCGAATCGAGACCGTATGCACTCAGCGGCTTCCCGCTTTCCATGTCGGTCTCCAGCCGCAGAAGCCTTGAAAGCTGCCTCGACATGACATCCACGCATGCCTTGACCAGCGCCGCGCTATCCGCCCCGTCTGCCACAAGTGCTTTGAACTCCTGCAGAGCTTGATCAACCGTCCCATGGTCGCTCCCTCTTCGCTTCAAGTCATCTTCCGAAACAGCACTATTACTGCTGCTGAAGAGATATCCGAACCTTGGATCACTCACGATATCCGACGACTCATCGAGAGGCAGAGGGAACGCAATGCCGGTGATTAGTTGTGATATAGAGGCAGGATTGAGAGGACAGACGGCGTCTTGCTGCAAGATTGAACATGTCAGGATACGACGAAGGACTCTTTCCCCGATGGGCGTCCACTGCTGCTTGTCAAACCGGGCTTCGAGACCAGCTCCTTGCTCGGCGAGATATCCGACATCCTCTATGGCACCAAGGTCCACCGAGTTGGCCCGCAATCCCAACCCACGCCGGTAACTGGCAAAGGCATCCAGGAACGTGTTGGCAGCCGCGTAATTGGCCTGCCCTTTGTTGCCAATGATACCAGACACCGACGAAAGCATGGTGAAGAAGTCGAGGGTCATGCCCTGTTCTAGCGCAGCTTTGTGCAGATTCCACGTCCCCTTGACCTTGGCCTCCAGAACCTGGCGGAAATCCTCAACCGTCATGGTCTCATAGGTCTTGTCACGAAGAACCATGGCTCCCTGGATGATACCTGCTATTCGCCAACCACGTCTATACTGCTTGAACAAGGACCGGACAAAGCTCGGGCTGGCAACATCGCCCTTGGCTTCGGTCACGGCACAGCCGTAGGCATCGCATCCCTTGATGATACGAGTTGAGACGGCGTCCGAAGTACCGCTACGACTGCAACTGATGATATGTTTCGCTCCGTGTCGAGCCATGTGGATTGCGAGTGAGCCACACAGGCCCTTGAGACCACCAATGATCAGGTAAGAAGCGTCTTCTCTTAGCTGCAAAGTCCGCAAAACGGGACGAACTGGTACTCGAATATCGCCATGGCTGCTGATGCCTACCCTGCCACTAAGCTGACCGCGACGAACGCAGTCCAGAGCGGCAGATACATCATCGAACCCATATCTGGTAATCGGATGAATAGGTCCAACGTGGCCCGCCTCAACCACAGCAAAAACCTCTTGCAAGAGTTTCTGCACGAGCAAATCTTCGACTTTCCCGGTGGAAAAAAAGTTCACAGTCCGAAAGGAGCAGTTGCGGTAAAATGGTCCCATTGCCAATGTCACTGGTTTGGTGGCATCATGCTTGCCAACGTCAATCATACTGCCGCCATCTGCAAGAATATTCCACGAAGCATCGAGCAGCTCGCCTCTAGCCGAGTTCAGAACGAGATCCACGCCACGGCCACCGGTCTCTCCCATAATCTTCTCTGCCAACTTGGCTGTGAAAGAGGACTCAAAAATGTGGTGCTGTGGAATACCAAAGGTCTCCGACAGGAACGCCTGTTGCTCGGAATCTTCGACAACAGCGAGAATAGGACTGGCCTTCCTGTCCTTAGCAAGTTGGATCGCAGCAAGACCAATACAACCCGTTGCAGAGTGAATCAGCACAGACTGGCCCTGTTGAAGATTTCCAAGATTGATCATCGAGTGTATGGCGGTTGCGTATGCCAAAGGAATGGTCGCTGCATCCTCAAAGCTCATCCAGTCCGGAATTCTGACGGCTCGCTCGGCAGAAGTGGTTAGGCGATTGGCATAGATGAAGCTGGTCATGACCGCAACGCGATCACCAACTTTGAACTTGGTCACACCAGCACCGAGTCTTCTGACAATTCCAGCGCACTCACATCCGGCCACCTTCTTGGTCCCAGCCCCAAAGCCCTTTATCATGGCAACATCCTGCGTATTGACGCCAATAGCCCATACCTCCACCTCGATTGATCCCTTTTCCACCGGCTTCTCACTGGCACACTGCTCAACCCAAGTCACCGACGACTTGCCACTCCGGCCAGTCTCAAGTTGAACCGTGTTCTCATGCTTATGGAAACCCTTAACGACCGTCGGCGCTTCCTCTGTCTCGCTTTGCCTGAAAGCATTCGCCTTTTCATCAGGCATCAACCTTTGCACGTAGACCACACCATGACGCTCAGCATACTCTGTCTCTGCCTTGTTGGCTCTGACCAACTCGAGAACCTTGTCTACAACCCAGGCAGTAGCGAGGCTGGTAGCAGATTGCACATCAAGGGTGGTCAGCCTGGCCGTGGTGTCTTCTCGGCGAACAACACGAAACAGGCCATGCGCCAAAGCGTTGTCAGGGTCAGTAACCTGGTACTGTGAACCCTTGGTGACCCAGACAACCGGGTTTCCAGACGCAACCAGCCTCTTGAAACTTTCCCACTGTCGACCAGAAGCATGAGCGAGTACTGGACTGGAGAGCTCATCGAGGACCAAAAAGACAGTGGTGTTGGGAGCTGCAAGGGTATCCAGTGCTGACGCGCTTTGATGCGTCACAGTCCAACCTGAGTACTCGAGTTTCTCGTGAAGGCTCGGTGGAAGGGGACGGCTGGAGCTTTTAAATCCGACAACTGTCAGATGTCGTGGGAGCTCTGTGATCCCTCCATGCCGCTCTTTATCGCTAGTGGGCTGTGGATCGTTCTTGTTTTTACACAGGTAGTGCACATTGCCACTGTCGGTGACTTCAAGGATGTTCTCAAATCCTTGACTAGCCAACTGATCCAGCTGCTTCCTCCGGCTCCAAAAGCTTTCAGCAGTGGAATCCAAAAGCTTTCTGGCCTCAACGCGGCTCATGGGTGCAGAAGAGACGGAACTGGCATGATCATTCCCATCCTCGGAGCTTGAGTCTCCGGAAGAAGAGCCAAGGCTACTAGATGCATCAGAATCGCCAACCAAGCCCCCATCGGAAGTCTCATAGCCGCTGTCAGTCGCAGTAGACGTGTTGCTGGTCGGTGCGTCCGCTATCAACACAAACGCATCCTCACGAAGAATGGGCTTGATGTTAGCCATGATGTCTTTGACTGGGACCCCAGACTTTGTGTGCGACTTGACGATCACAAGATCGTACCTTCTTCTCTCTACCAGACCCAGGGCCTTCTTGTCGGGGCTGATCAAGTGGAATGCAGCGTCCTTGTGGCATCCAAGCTCCGCTTTCAAGGCAGCCATTGTTGTGGAACGAGTGGTGGCCAAACCGTAACCAGAGCATGCCAATCTGCTTGACATGTCTGTTGGAGAAAACCACAAGCTGGAGGTATCAGCTTCGTCAAGGTTGACCTCAAGAACCCTGAGCAATGGCTTCTTGTGGGCGATGAGGTCAATGACTGCATCAACCTTGAAAGCCTGGCCAACATCCTCGGGGTCCAGATACATGAGTTGATCTTGTGTGAGGAGCGAAATGTCAGGCTTCCATGACACAAAGTCGAAGGTGTGCGGATCGGGCTGCCTCTCCACGTCAATCTTGACATAAGTCATTCCCCTTGCCTGGAAATAGAGGGAACCCGTCTCAGGGTCATGTAGGGAAATATCACAAGAAGTTCCCTTGGTTTCGTCCTTGTAGCCACCGGGCTTGCAGCCGGACTTGGCTATGGCAAGGCCAACCTTGAAGTCCTTGGGGACGCGGTTGAGTATCACCTCGTCAATCGTACCCGGCACCACTACATCGTTGATCAGGCTTCGTTCATTCAGGACATTGGGCGGCGCCCCAACTTGGAACGAAGCATCGAAGGGTGCAGGGTGGATGGGGAAGTAGCTTGCCGGCTCATACCTGGACAGGGGCGGGGTCAAGTCAACCAGCGCACGGCAGCTATGTTCCCCACTGGTAGCCTCCAGGCTGAGAACCTTCCTGAACGACGGCCCAAAGAAGACGTTGGCCTCGCTCAGGGCCTTGTACCATGGGCTGAAAGACGTAGGGTTGTCCAGAGGCTCAAGGTTAGTTCCGCTGATCTTGTCCTTGAGGGCATCGATGACGCGAATGCGGCCCCAACAATGAAGGATATTCACATCATCACTCGAAGTCGAAATTCGAAACTCATCCCACTCCTTGTTATCAGGTACCGCAGTAAGGGTCAACAGGATGGTGCAAGTCTTGTTCTCTTCGACAACCAGGGCGCGGTCGAAGTGGATGTGGCGCAGCTGGTAGGCCAACTCATTGGCTGCTGGAACCGCTTTCTCTGGGTTCAATGAGCAGTGTTTCTGGTACATGGCCTCTACTGCCATCGTCACAAGGCCGGCGCCAGGCATCAACACATCCAGACCTATCTGGTGATCACGAAGCCAGGGGACATCCTCTAAGCGGAGGTGCTTGCGCCATATGGGGCATTGCCATGGTGTACCCAAGATCTTGCTTCCGATGAGGTCGTGGTGGGCAAATTTTCTGAACCGCCAGTCCCTGCTGGTTGCGTTCTCGTGCCAGTACTTGACGGAGTGGTTCCAGCTGTAGTTGGGAAGGTCGACAACTGTTCGGACCTTGGTATCGTCATATTGGTTGACATGGGACAGGCTGATGGGGAAGCCAGCGACGAAAAGACGACCGGCAACATCGTGTAATGCTTTGGCGGCGTTGTCACCCCGAGCCCAAGCGGCGCAGTATGATATTTCTCCGGCATTTGGTAGGGACTTGAGCACCTGGGAGATGGGACCAGCCAGGGCGCCGGAAGGGCCAATCTCTATCAGGAAGTCGGGAGACTCATCACCAGCCTGCTTGGCCATGGCCGTAAGGGCCTCGTTGAAGCGGACGGGAGAGATCATGTTCGTCTTCCAATATAGCGCATTGGTAGGGGAGGCGTCGGTCAGTTTCTGTGCCGTGACCGACGAAAACATGGTAACGCTAGATGACGAAGGACTGTCAAGAACTGAGAAGTCCTGATCATTGGTCAGAAGATCCTCATACGCATCGCCGAACTCACCCATGAGCTGGGAGTGGTACGCCAGATCAACTTGGAGAAGCCGAGCAAAGCTGCCTGACCCCTTGATCTCATCAGCAAGCTTAATGAGGGCATCCTTTTTGCCTGAAATAGTCAAGCTTTGTGGACTGTTATAGCAGGCAATCCAAGCCTTTCCCTGGTGTTTCTCCAAGAAGGGAGCGACACCTTCAACACCAAGACCCACCGCCAGCATACCGACATCTGGCTCGGCCTTGCCATTCTGGTTGACAGTCGCCCATCCCCTGTAAAAGGCTGTCTTGATGGCACCAGCGCGGCCAAGGAAGCCAGCAGTGTAGGCGGCGGCAATCTCACCCGAGCTATGGCCGACAACACTAGAAGGCTTAATACCCCATGACTCAAGGAGAGCGATGATGCAAAGCTGGAGGGCAGTCACCAGGGGCTGGGAGAACTCCGGCTTACGGACATGCTCGGCAGATCTCGGCTCTGTAAGTTCCTCAACAAGGGACCACTTGGGAGGATTGGGGACGCCCTGCAGGACAGTGTCCAGCTCCTCGAGGATTGACCTAGTCCAAGGGAAAAACTCGAGCAGTTGTTTACCCATCTGAGGCCACTGGGCGCCTTGGCCTGTGAAGACGAAGCCGATTTTGGGGATCTTGTCGGCCTTTTTCCCGATGGTGAAGTCGCTGGCCTCGATCTTGGTGGTTCGAGTGGTGACGAAGGCACGATGCCACAGGCGGGTACGGCGGTCTGAGAGAGTGTAGGCTAGATCAGCCAAGCTCAGCTTCGCGCGTGGGTCACCGAGGTGGTTGACGAGAGACTGGATGTTGTTCTTCAGGGAAGATGCGTCGTTGACTGATAGTACGATGGTGTATGGCTTGTCCAACTCAACGATTTCTTCGGTGCCCGAAGAAATGCCCTCATTGGCATAGGAGATGGAGTTAACATGGTGAGCCCGAAGTTCGATGTCCGCCTCCTGAATAATGGCATGGGCATTCGCGCCCCCGTATCCGAAAGAGTTGATCGAGGCACGCTTGGGCTTGCGCTCGGTATCAGGCCAGGGGAGAGCAGTCCTCGAGACCTTGACTTTGTTGCCCAAAAAGTCGATATGGGGGTTAGGAGTGACGAATAACGGGTTTCCTGGGATGACCGAGTGTTCGATGGCGAGGATGGTCTTGATCAATCCTGACAGACCCGCCACAGGCTCAGAGTGGCCGACATTGCCTTTGATGGAGCCGATGATTAGAGGCCTGTCTGGGTCGCGGGTTGCAGCAAAGGCATGACCGACACCTCGGACTTCGGTTGGGTCGCCAGCTGGTGTACCCGTGCCATGGCACTCCAGGTATTGAGTGTCGTTGAGGTCGGTTATTCCGGCGTTCTGGTAAGCTGCACGGATGGCCGCGGCCTGGGCTTCAGCGCTGGGGCTAGAGATACCGTTCGTCCGCCCGTTACTATTCGTTGCCGTCCCGAGGACAATTGCCCGGATAGGATCCCGGTCTCGAACAGCATCACTCAACCTCTTGATAATGACACACCCCACACCTTCCGCCTTGATGTACCCATCAGCCAGTGCATCAAACGTATGACACAACCCAGAAGGACTATGAGCCTTGCCCATCGTACCCCTATTATCAACAACATGATCAGGATTAAGATACAAATTCGAGCTAGCCACAATAGCCGCATCAGCCTGCTGCGTCTGCACCGCTCGCACAGCCATATCCAGCCCAACCAAACTTCCCGAGCATCCCGTGTCAAGAGTAACACTAGGTCCCTTGAGATTGAGAAAGTGGCTGATCCTATTAGCCTGAATCGCTCGACCGACGCCGATACTGATGTTAGCGGGAAAATCTTCGGGATCGCGGTTTTGCATGTCCCCGTAGTCGGAGACGAAGGAAGCGACGAAACAAGCCACTGGTGCTCCATCGATTGCTTCGAGAGGGACACCGGCGTTCTCGAGACCCTCATAGACTACTTCGAGGAGTTGGCGCTGGTTGGGGTCGAGGGCTGTGGCGTCTTGGCCGCTTAGGGAGAAGAAGGAGGCGTCGAAGTGGTCGAGGGGGATGGATTCGGAGAGAAACATGCCTGGTATAGGGGCATGGGTGTCAGCAATTTCCCTTTATCCCGGGCATGCTATGGAGGGGATAGGATGGGGACGTACCACCAGGGGGCCTCATAGTCCCGGGCTTGTGGCTCCCATCGTAGTGGGCATCCATGTTGAAACGCGACTTGGGCACTTTGTTTGAGGCGACCTTTCCTTGCTCCAGGAAATCCCATAGCTTGCTTGGTGAGTGGTTTCCTCCGGGAAGGCGGCAGGCGAAGCCAATGATTGCTATGGGGTCTTGCTTGTAGGGCTGGGTGGAGGTGGACATGGTGGGCTGGTGGTTGGGGTTCGGCAGTATCTATTGTGCGGTGACGGAAGGATCACAAGAAAAGGTTGAGATAAGGGCTTGCTTTTATGCAAGCCATCATTGAGGTTGCTGCGGAGATCCATCGGCCGTAGTTGACCCCTCTCTGGTCGTGTACGGGGCTGTTCTCGAGCATTCCCAGGAGCTTCACTTCTTCCCTTCCTAACATCGATACTGTACAGTCCTTACAGTTGAAGGACCTTCGGAGGTCGAACCGCGGCAAAGCGTACGACTATCTCTACAGTATCACGCGGCCCGTCCAGCTAAGCAACTCCACGGCTGACAAGATGACGCCAATGGCCCCGACGGCCCATTCTGACCCCAATACGCAGTTCATCATCCTGCTTTTGGAGCTTCCGAGGTTCAACCAAGCTTCGCGGCTCGGGCCTGTTACCGCTTTGGTCAAGGTAAAGATGATGGGTGTGAAGAGGACTGCAGTTGGGCCAGTGTGTGATCAAGTTGAGAAGGGCATCATGGATAAAGGACTCGTGTCGATGTGTGGAGGGATACAAAGTCTGGACAGGTCATCCCACACCAAATATCGACCAGCTTCGTACAGAGGACCAGTATGAAGCCCCTTCGGCATCTACTTCCCAGCGTTGGACTTGTGATGTTGGTGTTGAGTTACATCGATGCCAGCTTACATCAACCTTCTTCCTACAAGGACACGCGACGCCCTGTGAAAGACATTTTATGAGGTTGCCTGCAGGCGCATATGTGGCAGAGGCAAGTCTGGCAGAGGCAAGTCTGGCAGAGGCTCAGCTCGATAAATTTTCGTTGGCTTCTCGACTTCTTCTTTTCCGAGAACCTCGGATTGTTGAACTACCCTCGACAGCCAACACTATCTCCGGCCGCGGGGTGTCAGCTCAAGTCACGATCGAGCCCATATCCGCTGTTCATCACACTGTACAGAGTACAGATCCTGCGGCTTTCTGGTATCCCTCCCGATCTTCAACAAGCTTGTCATCTTGGCTACATCGTCTTCCCTTTTTCGTCTTTGTTGATTACCCCTGTGGTGGTCTTTCTCATTTGGCCTGCCGCTTTTTGAGCCTGGAGGTGGGTAGGTGCCCTACCCTTCATCAGCTGAGCCTACTGGAGCTTTAGGGGGGGCATTCGCGCTGTCAGGGCCACTCAGACCATTAAGAACACAATCAATATCTTGCGTCAGCACCAACAGAATACACAGTTCACGGCGTGGTGAGACACGACGTTGACATGTTGGCACGGTAAGGCGGCAGAGCGGTAACGTCGTAACGGTTACGGTAATCCAAGCAAGAGGGCGCATGACTTTCTTTCTTTTGTCTCTCTTTGCTTCTTTCTCGCGGGGTGACTTGTGGCGTCCGGGATAACAGCTCCAGGCACGGGATGGAAACAGGACGACTGGTCGAGGATAAACGCCGCAGACGCCGCGGACGCCATTTACCGGATGTAGTTGTGCCCAATGGCTTTTACATTCCAATGGTACGTGAAGTCAATACTATGTGATGTGGTTGTTGTAGAGCGTGGAGACTTGGTCGGACGATTGAAGTCGGTCTGTGAGCGCCCTGGCGTGGTGTTACTCTTTACTCTGTGTCTCAAGAGTTTACATACATGACGGGAGCAGGACTTCCGGCCGAAAGATGATCCCCTTTCATTCTACATGTTCCTCATTGACTTGGAAAAGATCTCGGACAGCTACTTGATTAGGTGTGACCATGGAAAGAGCATCAACTAAGCCCGACAAAGTCTCCCATCCTCCTTCTGCACCCACTTCTCACTTCCCACCGCTGTCAACGCGTACAGCAACCCTTCCGGATCGTACTTGTTCTTGATGGCAAGCAGCCTCTCATAGTTCTCTCCGTAGAAGGTGGTCTGCCAGTCCGGCTGATGCGGATCGCCTTCGTTGAGATAAGCGCCGCCACCAGGAGTGACTTTCTCAAGAGCGGCGCCGAAAACGTTGGTGATCTTGTCCTGGGCGTCGATGTTGGCGGAGAAGTTGAGGTGGTTGTATGGACTACGTGTTTCACACTGTCAGTACTTGTCTTTGCGGAAGGGGCTTGCATAGGTGGGCACGGAATACTCACAGTCCAAACACGCCAATCTGAATCGCCGACTCGAACAACGGGTTGACTGAGTTGGGATACGCCTTTGACAACTTCCGCCCCCTCTCGATGTTGACCGAAATACCAGCCACAGTACCGTCCGCACTGGCGATGGCGTCCAACGCTTCCGTCAGCTTCTCGGCGCCCTCCTTTTCCGTTACCAAGGATCGAGGGATCAAACGTCCACCCATATTGGCGTCGGTGACGTTCTGTTGAGCGACCATGGCCGCAACGGCATCGTGAAAGGATGGGAAGTCAGTGAACGATGAAGCTGCATCGTAGCCATTTCGTTAGCACGCCTTCACCTCAGCACATCGGGCTCACACATGAAGTGACAACAACATACCATACGGAATCCCCAACCCATCAAGCTTCTCCATAACCGGCTTAAACGCCTCTTCCAACTCTTTCGCCTTCACCCCCGGCGCCAGAACCGGCGACACAGCCAACACATCCTTCAGCAAGAACCAAATAGCCCCAGCCCCAATATCCACAATCCCCGGCAACCCCTCCAACCAAGCCTGCACGCCCTTAACAAAGATCCCCCTATCTTCCAGGCTATTGGCACTAAACATCAACATAGCCCCAGCCGTCTCAAAATCTTCCCACGCCTTAACAGTAACGGACACAACCGCTCCGAAAGTTCCTCCCCCGCCGCCAGACAGCGCCCAGTAGAGATCCGCGTGCTCGTTGAACGGCGTGGCTTTTACCAGCCGGGGCTCGGGGTGCCCAGTGGCAGAGGAGGGGGGGATAACAACCTCCCACTCAAGGACTTGATCCGCCCCCAACCCAATCGCAGACGACAGCACCGAGTGCCCGCCTCCCTGGGTGTACCCGCCTACCACGCCGACGCTCTCGCAGTTACCGCCGTGTAGAACCAGGCCGTGGGCTTTGGCGGCAGCAAAGGCTTCGGAGACTTGCACGCCGGCTGCCAACTTTGCTGCTTTGCCCTTGTAGGCAACACTTCCTTGCTGTTCGGCTTCGTGGGTGTTATCGAAATCGAAGAAGTCAATGTCCTTGAGATAATGCGTCCATAGCGCCAGGCTACCGGCGCCGGTGGATTTACCGAGGTAATCGTGTCCGGTGTTGCGGATTACTAGCCGGATGTTGTGCTGGTGGGCGAAGGAGAGGGTGGAGATGAAGTCGGTGGCGGCGGAGGCGGAGGAGGCGGAGGAGGCGTTGAGGGAGTAGGTGACGAGGGATCCGATGCTGCATTTTTCGTGGTTCCTCTCCTGCCCAGATGGAGAAGAATCACCATCAAACGGATCACACTGCCCTCCGTCAGGACCAGGACCGTGCGCAAAAAACTGGTTCATCACGCTCGCTGAGTCGCGGTAGTGCGTAGCAGTGAGGTGCCAGTCCGAGCGCAGCTGGGCGCACTTGGCTTTGTCGTACCGTTCATCGCTCGAGTAGCAAACGGACCCGAGGGGGACGGTGGCGATTAGTCGGCCGCCTACGGTCTGGTTGAAGCGAGACCATTCTGTGGGGGAGGGCCAGCAGGCGTCGCCTGGGATGCAGCGGCAGTTTGAGGAGTCGTTGGAGGTGGTGATTCGGTCTTGTTGGGGGAGGAGGTTGGAGATTGGTTCTTGGGCTAGGCCGGAGGTCGCTGTGGCTGTGGCTAGCAGCAATGCGCTGCTGAGGAAGCAGGCTTTTAGCAGACCTGGAGGGAACATGATGAAGCAAACAGTGTACTGGGGAATGGTGATGCTGCCGCTGGTGGTGATGATGTTCAGACATAAGCTGCCCGGCCCGGGTGGTACGGGATACGTCATTGCTTTTATATCTTGACCCGTCAGCGTCAGCCCACCTCGCATTCATCTGCGAAGATCTCTGGCTTACTGGCAGCTAGTGCTTACGGCAGCCATCATGATGTTTTCGAATCCGAGATGCCGGGAGTCCGAATGGAACCACCCAACACCTTCCGTCATCGGTCTGGATGATCTGTTTCCTTGTCGATCACGACGGGATGCTGACGAGAACATCGCTAACAGGCCTAACAGGCCTATCGCGATGCGATTTACCGGTGTTGATCGGAAAGCTGATGCGCTAAGCCCCCGGGCTTGGCACCGTGCTTGGCGCCTGTTGCTCGCTATCTGGGGCCGTTGGGCGTTAACGCCAACGACATCCGAGATATGCCATCGGTCCTGTCATCACCACCATCAACACTGATCCTGCCTCTGCTTTGGATGGCTGTCGTTTCGTTGCCGCCGTTGGTGGCGGCTATTAATATAAGGTAATGATCAGGATCCGAAGTTGGAAGTCTGGAGATCTTTGTCGAGGTTCAAAAATGAGGGTAGGTTGTCCAGCTCCAGGTTTCCAGTCCGGCAATGCTCCTGCTATGTCTTCCCTTCCATGTTCACTTGTTCCAATCCTGTCTCCTGTCTCCTATCATTTTTTTTTCCCACAGCTAGGCGGAATCTTGCAAACATTCATGTTTCACAAACCGTTGCCCAGGCTCATGTTCGGAATCCTTCCCGCTCTCTCATGTGGAAAGTACAGGATAGGTCCTGTCACGGCTCACCAATCCAGCTGGATGCATCATGTTTCAGAAATCCGGCAAGACCAAGGGACTCTGAACAGCTTCCGCCTCTTGTGAAACGGGTCACCAACCGCGGGCGGTCAACATGACGGTGATAGGTGATAGGCACGGCAGGCAAACTCACAGATCGTGGGGAAAGCCATGGGACATGAACCACGGCTCATCGGGAAACAGGGACCTGGGATATTCTTCAAGGATTTGGATTATATTTTGTATAATCCTTACTGCAATATGCCCAGAGTGTGCAGGGTTATGGCCTCTCCCGACCCTTTATCATTTGCTGAAGTAGAGTCTAGACTCCGCGATGATGTTTGTGCGACTCCTGGAATTCCCATGCTCATGCCTGGCATGCCGTGCGGCCCATCTGGTTTGAGACCTCTTACAACTTTACATGACCAGAATTTTCCGCCGGTGCTTGAAGTCATATAACTTCATCTGAACATAATGACAAGATTAACGGCTCCAAGACCCAACGGTCCAACGGCTGATACTCTTTGTACAGTAAACCAACCTGAAAGCATCGTTTGTCCCCAGCCCGGCCGTCCCCTGATATCTCCCGCAGAATGGAAACAAACGCCACTCAATCTTGTTTGACACAGCACCCAACATTAAGGAAGTCGGCGGTTGAGCAAATCGTGTTATCAACAAAAAGAAGCGATTCAAGGCATTGTCATGATGTTCTATATGAGTGGCATAAAGTCTCGACTTGAATCGTCTTTCTCTCTCCCCAGCACAGCCATCATCAGCACTCAAAACAACAGGATTACACCTTCACACACCCACAACAAAACCACAACTCATCAACCGTCTCATCCAGCCAGACATCATGCAGCTCATCTCGGTCCTCACTGCCTTGGCCGCCTTCAAGGTCGCCTCCGCGCTTCCCTCCGCCGTCAAGGCTGCTAACGACCTCCTTGCCCGCGATGGTCTACTCGGTTCCAAGCTTTGCACCGACATCAACTTCGCTGGAAACTGCGAGACCATTACCAACGTGGCCGATGGCCTGAAGGCCGACCAGTGCAGTACGTCGAATTTCCCAGCCCTTCCTTCAACAAGTACTCCTGATGTTTAATGGCAAGGCAGTCACTAACACGCTGTACCTTTTTCTTACATATATAGTTGCCGTCGATCCTTACCTCCGAACCAACGGGGTCTCCTCGATTCAACCTCTCGAGAAGTCGTGGTGCACTTACTACCTGACCGACAACTGTACGGATCTTACCTCCGACCTCTGCGGACACTACGACGCCACTTCCCCTATCGACAACTTGACGACGGTGAGCCCGACCAATTCGAATCACAAATGCGGGGGTAACATGGACAAGAAGATTGCTAGCTTCAAGTGCCGTCCTTTCTGATATGCTCCAGGTGCACATGGGAGGTCATGGAAAGAGTGAGTGAGGTCTAATAAAGGCCCAATGTTCATGAAGGGGAAGGGATAGGTATTTGCTTGTTTCATGTTTCGGGCTTTGCGCGGGTTAACAATGGACGATGTCCCGGACTTCCCGTTCGCGGTTCGTCGTCGCCATTGTTTAGTGGAACCCGGCCATTCTGTTTGAGAGGGGGATTTCTTTCATGCTTTTTGCGATATTATTATCACTCGCTAGACGAGGATTCAATTCAAGGATTTCTGTGCGGTCGCTGTTCTTTTCCCTTTTCAGTGTTATTGTCGTCGTAGTACAGTGCAATCTATTAAAGGCGCCTGGTGGTGTTATTCGTACTAACAATTTCGGTCCATATAGTAAGGTAGGTAATAAAGAGCGTAACTTCCCGCACCCTCCCCTTTATCTTCGCACACCCTTTTTTGACTTACACGGTTTACACCCTGCCTATCCCGGCATTATTTCATTCCTTTCTTATACAAGAGCAGCGTTACGTAGCCAATGTCAATTAATGCTCATCCCGCCAGACCTGCAGCTCTCAACACCTCACCTTCACCCACAGACACAACAAAACAACGACTCATTCCACCTCATTATCCAACCATTAGTCATGCAGCTCCTTTCGTTCTTTACTACCTTGGCCACTTTCAAGGTCGCCGCAGCCCTTCCCTCGGCCGTTAAAGGTGCTAACGACCTCGTTACCCGCTATGATAGTACCTCTACATTCGGTTCCAAAGTTTGCGTGGACGTCAACTTCGGTGGATATTGCCAGACCTTTTCCAGCGCGGCGGGCTTGACGCGCGGCATGTGCGGTACGTCAGGTCAGGGTCCGAATTCATAAACCCGTTTTCTATTTGATAACTGTAGCAAGATACCTAGTCACTAACAAGATGAGCCGTTATATATATATATATATATATATAGTTCGCCTCGACGACAGCATTAGGGGGCTCGTCTCCTCTATTCAACCTCTCGAGAAGTCGTTCTGCCGATACTACGTGTACGTACCTCCCCTTCATAAAAGAAACCTGAGCATCGACTGAACTTGTTTCTTAATACAGGACTGAAAACTGCCAGGATCCCACCGGCGACGGCTGCGGATTATACGACGCTTATTTCCCGGGTTTCGCCGACTTGAAGACGGTGGTCCCGTCCGCGTTTTTAGACCTTAAAAAATGCGAGCCCGGCAATATGGATAATAAGATCCGCAGCTTCATTTGCTACCGCCATCTAACTTGATTGAGGTGGTGGTCTAGACATAGTGAAGGCCTAAGGCCAATGAAGGGGAAGGGGCATTTGCTTGCTTGTTTCTTTTGTTTCGTCGGGGTTCGGGTCAACCAATAATGGATATGGACGGTAGCGGTGCCCCGGACTTACCGGTCGCCGGCACCTCCTTGTGGTGACATTGTTTGAGAGGTGGATTTCCTTTATACCTTACTTTTGCGATATCAGCGTTATTCGCTAGACGAGGATTCAATTCAGATCTGGGATTCTGGCTGGTCGCTGTTCTGTCCCTCCGCACCTCTGATATTGGCGTGCCTCAGTGCAGTCCATTTGCATTTGGAGCGCCTGGTTGTGATTTCCGACCAATGAGGTGTTATGCGTACTAACAACTTCAATGTCTACAAAAAAGACGGCAATAAAATGCTGACCTAGGCTTGCCAATGTGAACATTTTCTGTAGGCAAAAGCACAGGCCACTTGCATCCAATGTCAATCGACGTTCATCCCGCCAGACGCAGCCCTCAACATCTTCCTGCCAACTTCCAACCACCATCTTCATCAGTATTTCATCCACTTCTGCCCCATCTTCTTCACCCTCCTACCATTCCATTCCATTTCTTTCACTCATATCCACACGATCGAAATCGCAAGGAGCACCTCGTTTAGCGGCTCGCGGGGTACATACAGCGTCTGGCAGTTCCAGGTGCATGCCAAGTGGAGTCACTCCAATGCGCAGGTGTTAGGGAAGTCCCCCGGGTTTGGCAGACACAGCGACGTGGGCTTAACAGCATGACATGAACATTTCAAGTGTACCCGATTACCTCATGCCTCACTTCATAAGGTACCTCTAGGTAGGTTGGCGGAATTCCTGAGGATGGCTGGGAGGAAGAGAGATTACTATCCACCTGACAGCATCCTAAGTTTTTGCAAAGAGGCTCGGTCATATCATTTTTTTGTCATTATTCTGCGGTGTTTCTTTTGGATGGAAATTCCGCTGATGGTTCTCTTGAGAAGACACCTGGCACATAAGCAATTCGCAGTCCGGATCATCGGTCTCTTATTTACGTGCCTCAAATATGCCTTTACGGTGGTCATATTGCGCCGCTCTTGCTTATCTTGTGCTTATCTTTTCGTTCTTCGAGACTTCCATTGCTTATACCTCCTGCCACCTGCTGTTCCTCTACTGGTAGAGGTAAGCCAAAGCTGGATGTCATTATTGGCTGTTTGTAGGAATATTGGCTTGGCTGATCCCATCATCGTTCACGCGGTCAATGATAATGCCTCTCTGCGGCTTATATCTCTACTGATGCGACCTCGACGGCGAAAGGGGAAAATTTGAGGCGATGGAGTTCATGCGAGTACCTCTGGAGATATGGTTGAGGCCTGATCAGATCATCAGCAGCTGATGATCAGCTTACACCCCCATTGGTGCTGGCACCGACGCCATAAGATATTGCCGGATTCGAACAACGCCTAGAGAACTGCGCCATGATATCTCACTGAGAAGTTCACTGACTGGAGAGTGAGGGCTGTAGATAAGGCTGTAAAGAAGCAGACGATTGCTCGATTTGACGATATCTGACGTGCGAAGGCATAGGTTGCGTGCTGCGCACATCCAGAAAGTTTGGTTGAGGGAATCATTGATGCTTATGTCTCTTTCACAACGCTGCTTATCAACGATATCCAGTTCAAATCCAGTCATCGAGCGGCCGCTGAGCCTGCTGTGCCTGCTGTGCCTGGTATTTTCAAGCTTGGAGGATTATTGTGAGGATATGCGCCTCTTCTCAGAGCCAAAGTAGCTGGTTGACGACTATGGGGCCAAAGGACTCAATGAAGTGAAGATATGTATCCCGCAGGGCGCTCTCCTTTCACGGAGTGACCTTTGCTTTGAACGACTAGACATCCAGCACAGCATGTCTAACTTCAAAGTAATCATCGTCGGCGGCGGGCCCGTAGGCCTCATAGCAGGCCATTGTTTCTCCCGAGCAGGCATCGACTTCAAGATCCTCGAGCGTCGAGAGGCACTGGACCTCAACGCCGGCTCATCCGTGGCCTTATGGCCACAAAGCGCCAGAGTCCTTGACCAGCTGGGCCTCTTAGACGGAGCTATGGCGGCCTATATTCCGGTGAAGTACAAGTGCAACTTGCTTCCGGATCGGAGGGTGTTGAGCAAGTGCGATATGAATGCGGCTATTCAGAAACTGTTAGTACCTACCCTTAGCTGTGGGATGTATCTGGGGTTGGCTTACTGAGAGGTTGTTGTGAGACAGACACGGACACCACTGGATGCTTTTCCACCGGGCCAAGCTTCTCGAGATTCTTTACGATCGCCTCCCTGACAGAGAGAACAAAGTCCAAACCCAGAAGGAAGTTACAGGCATCTTCAAGCATGAGACGGGAGTCACGGTCATCTGCGCCGATGGGACCAAACATCAAGGGTCTATCGTGCTCGGAGCGGATGGCGTTTACAGCGCCGTTCGGAGACTGATGAACGAGTCTGTCATAAGTGGAAGTGAGAAGGAGACAACCACGAGGCCATCACTTCGGAAACGGATTACAAGAGCCTTCAAGTTCAACCCGTTCACTCTTTTCACGCTGAGGAGAAAGAACCCAAGCTCGACACCAGATACCATCCTTTCCCCAACCTCAAACGGAGATAAAGACCATGACCAGCTCCTCCCCCCAGGTCTAAAATCCACTTACAGAGGCATCTACGGCCACGTCCTCCTCTCCCCCAGCTCCCACCCCTTCCCTCTCCTAACCCCGGAAACCCTCTACGAAACCCACGGCCCGCACTTCACCTTCCAACTAATCGTCGGCCCTCCCTCCTGCAACATGCTCTTCTTCTTCTTCTGCGCCCGCCTTCCCTCCTCTACCCCTACCAAAGGCACCACCAGAAAAAGAACACACTACACCCCCCACGACGCACACTCCTTCGTTACCTCCCTATCCCATCACCACCCAACTCCCGATTACACAGTCCAAGACATCTGGTCACAAGTCACCTGGTCGCACATGTCTGATTTGGAGGAGGGAGTGATAGAGGGGGATTGGTACGACACAAGAGATGGGAGGATAGTGCTGGCGGGTGATGCGGCGCATAAGATGACGCCGAATGCGGGGCTGGGGTTGAATGAGGGGGTGCAGGATGTTGTTGGGTTGGTTAATGGGGTTTGCTCTATGCTGGATGATATCAGAGCTAGGGCAAGGAAAAGGGTTGGGGCTGGAGCAAGAAGTGAGGCCGGGGTGGAAGGGGGAGGGGGGGTGGAAGCAGAACAATCTCTCTGGCCTACGCCAAAGCCGATGATGGTTCAACCAAGTTCGGAAGACTTGGTCGAGACCTTCCGCGCCTACCAATCCCTCCGCCGCCCTCGCGCCGCAAAAGTCGTTGGCCTCTCAGCTCTCTGGACAAGAATGGTTGCCTGGGATAACTGGGCTTGGAGGGCGCTGGACAAATGGGTGACACTGGCGCCGGAGATGCTCAAGGTCAATGTTGATAGGACGGGGTTAAAGTGGTTGATGAGTCCCGTGGTGGCGGGCGGGTTGGTGTTGAAGCTGAAGGGGATGAAGGAAAGGGGGTTCAGGGAGGGGACGGTCAAGTGGAAAGAGGGAGTTCCGGTCAGGAGGAAGGAGATCGGGAACTGGATGCCTCGGATGGAGACCGGGAGGGAGGCACGGGGGTGGGCTGGATGGTTAGTGCAGGTAAAGGGAAGGGGAAGGTGGATACTTGGGAGGCGGACTATAGAGGGGAAGAAGGTGAAAGGGAAGCGAGGTGCGTGGGTTTGAGGTGATGGAAGGAAGAGAAGGTGCAAAGCGCAGATGATAGTAGACTCGGCTTGGGAAGGCGAGCGTTACGATGATCGAAGAGTCAGATGGGAATGATCATTGATCATGTGTTTGCAGACCGGACGGTGATGGCGATGGGAAACCGGGGCGTTTAGATGAATGTTCTATAGGATTGTCAAGTTGGTTAGAGGCATTCCAAATATAAAGAAGCAAGTACTATATATAAACGACATCCTTGCCTTCAAAGTCAACCAACAAACGGTGTGGCGTCGATGGTGACCGAGTTCGTGGCGGCATTGCCGGCGGTATCACCAATATCGTGTTAACATTCAAGTAGTTCTGTCTTTGTTGCGGAATTGACGTGGTACTCAAAGTAGATCCTTGCACGGCGGCTTAAAGGGTGAAAGGAGGCCCAAAGGTGCTTGATGGGCCCGTTACCCAGCAGCCACATGCAGGGACGAACAGGGGAGTTAAAAAAAAACCCTGGCTCCTTTGTTTACTTCAAACAGACGTAAGAATTAGGCGAAAGAAAAAAATCGTGAAAGCGGCAACCACGGTTGAGTAACTTGCCCCTGAGTTTAAAGGCAGGTAGTCTTCTTCTCTTCAAAACTGCCCGGAAAGTGATAACTCGTCTCGTGCTGCACGACTTCCTTCCTTCAGACTTGAGAGTTGACTACCTACATCCTTGTCGGACTAAACCCGATCAGCTAGCTGCCTCTCACCACAAATTTCACTTCTTCACATACCAGTACTTCTAGACAACAGCAACCATTGCAACATTTCTACCTTACCTTCATCATGCACTCGCTGGCGCAACTCGCTCTCATCGGCCTTGCCTCCGCAGCCGTCATTTCCCCCGTCTCCCGAGGCACTACTAGTGGTATTTCCGTTGATGACAACTTCAAGACCCGGGACTCCGCCAACTCCTCCTCCGATCTGGACTGGAACCAGTCCCTAAACTTCACCTCCACCACCTCCTCCGACGGTGACCTCATCGCCAAACGCCGCACCGACAGCGGTACCTACACCTCCATCACTCCCCCCGCAAAACAACCCGACTTCTGCCCCTATGATCTCGTCGAGCAACCCCAACCTTTGCTGTCGTATGACAACAAGGCCCCCCTCGCCTCCGACTGCGGTCACATCGTCGACCTGATCAACGACACCAAGCGCCGCGGGTCCTGGACGTTTGACATCGCTGATCTGGAGAAGGGGATCATCCTGATTAACTATAAGAGTTGTGCGTTTAAGATGGTCAAGGATGGGGAGATCAGTGGTGGGAAGAAGATAGAGCAGTTCAAGTGGGGGGTGGAGGAACTCAAGTTTTATTTGGGAACTTGGTTGCAGAAGCAGAGGCATGGAAGGCTGGGGTCGGTGGGAAGCGTGAATTGTTGGGTTGAGGGCGAACGGAAGAAGGATGAAGGGGGGGTGAGGGTTAAGTGGATGGTGCAGCAGCAGTTTGAGAAGAGTGGGAAGGCGTTGGTTTATGTTGCTTGATTGAAGCGGTGGGGATGGGTTGAGGGTTTGGATGTTGGAGTCAACGTGGGTTGATAGGTTGTTGTTGTGGTTTTCGAGAGCAGGTGAGGTGTGTTTTGTGTCAAGGTATATTTAGGGGAGAAGATGGAGAGTTGCTTTGATGTCTTGTCTTCAGGGGTTATACAGAATTGTGCTTTTCGGTACTAGAGGTAGTCTTGAGTATCACAGATCTGCCTTCTTATTCCCGTAAAGGTAATCTCGTGTAGCATTGCAGCATGCACATGTGCCAAGAAGTGTCATTGCCTCGGTGTGAGTCAGCTCGGTCAGCTCGCCGAGTTGAGCTATGGGTTGGGGACGACAACTTCCGTCGATAAAACTCTACGGTGTAGGCAACAACTCTCCGGTGTGTTCTAACCAAGACTCACACTCTTCTACTCTTCGACCTGGTAGACAGAACTCCCAAGTCACAATGTCCTCGGCAAAGGAATTGAACGACGTGTCTCTTGACTCTTGGGAAACCAATGCAAGCTTCTGGGACGATTCGATTGGCAAAGATGGCAACATCTACTGGCAGAAGCTGCAGGAGCCATCTCTCCGTCGGTTGCTAGGCGATCATCTCAAACGACAACACGGGCAAAAGCCCTGCCTTGCGCTTGACCTCGCAACAGGAAACGGACTTTGCGCTCGATGGTTGGCCAAGCACGGGGCTAAAGTGTACGCAACTGACGGAAGCGAAAACATGCTCCAAATAGCCAGGAACTGGACGAGAGGAAAAGACTGGAGTGAGAATGTTCGCTTCTGGAACTTGGATGTCACACGGACAGAGGACTTCGACGTTTTGATAGATGCCTATGTATGTTTTTAACCTTCTGGGACACCCGTATGCTCATTGCTAATACCGCTCTTTGGTGACCAACAGTTCGAGGACAAGTTCGACATTGTCCTCATGAACATGGCCATTATGGATGTTTCCACACTTGAACCACTAGTTCGAGCACTTCCAAGGCTCTTGAAGCCCAATGGAGTGTATGTCAGCCTTATTTGAGCTGTTTGAGATTACAACCGATGGCTCAATGACTGACACCTTCCCATCTAGCTTCGTCGCAACCGTTCTTCATCCCGTTTTCATGACTTCCGGGGCATCTCGCAATGTCGATCTCCGGTACGACGGGGAGACCGGTGACCTCGAAGTCGTCAGAACCAAAGTCATCAAGAACTACCTCCATGTTCCACCTTACAAGGGGATTGCCATTCCTGGACAACCGAAGCGACAGGTGAGTTGTTGACTTGGCCCAAACCGTTTCTGGCACCGAGATGAGACCGGAGTATCGCCAGCCAGCGAGCTAACCAAACTAACTCAGCTATACTTTCACCGTCCAATGGATGAACTCTTCACCACCTTCTTCCGGGCCGGTCTTGTCATGGATGCTATGGAAGAGCCGGCATTCTCGGAAGAGGACGAGGAGAAGAGCAGGGTCGAGTCGAGCCGGAACTACACGCAACTGCCGGCAATTCTCAGCTTTCGGATGCGGTTGCCGTACAAATAGCCGCGAATGAATCGCGATCTCGATGAGTCTGCGACGTATATCGATGGATATGCTGTTATAGACTGTGGTTAGCCAGTGATGGTAGCGGTTTGTAATGGGAAACGCCACCCGTGGAGTTGAGGTGAGACAATTGCTATGAGGATGTGGCCTAGAGCTTATAAGCAAAAGAAACTATTGACATGTTGCTGGACAATCACCTGATTTCAGGCACCATTACGACGTCATGCAATATCCGGGAATCGGATTTAGAGGAAAAGTGTGTATTGATCGTCGCTCTCAGGGGTCCTTCATTCAGGGGTTCCAGGAACGGAAACCGACATTCGGGACGGCGCGCTCACCCGGAAACAAGGGGTAAAGATCATGATCCCCCCACGATCTACAACAACCTCGTGATAGGGTGGTGGTTGGAGGATTGGATTGTCTCGGCGATGAATCCAGGTGGACTTCAAGACAAGATGAGACTTGTAGATATGAAAGAGGCCTGACCTCCAGCCGGAAGAGAGGACTAGTTCATGGACACATCAGCTTTATATCCAACTCAAAGATGGACCCTGACTCACCAGCAACCAAACGACGTCGGATCGAAGACACAGGGTCCAACTCGGCGGAGTTTCAACACCAAAGCCAGCATCACAACACCAATGCCAAGACAGCCAAGACTGACCTTGAACCTCCATCTACCAGTGGCGCCTCCAGCGGAGACTTTCGGTACACCGCTTCCCCAAACCCTACAACCATGACAATATCGTCGCCAATCAGGTTCCAAGACTTTTTAACCGAGACAACTGGCGAGACACGGCGCCCGGAAGAGTCCGAGGGGCCTGGACCTAACAAAACTGAAGCTGAGGAAGACGTCAACGTCAGAGAGCGCCACAACAGCATTGGGAGGAGATATCGAAACAAACTCAACGAGCAGTTTGATAATTTGCAGGCACTCTTGTCACAGCAGAGCCGAGACGGGGAAGATGACAATGGAGACAGGGAGTCCCAAGAGCCAGACGATGACAGCAACAACAACAACAACACCACCACCAGGGACTCCAGCTCTTCACCAACTCTTGTCAAGAAATGCCGAAAGGGACGGGGTATCAACAAGGCCAGTTTGCTGGAGATGGCCAAAGTCCGGATTGAGACGCTCACGGAGCAAAGAGAGATGTTGATAGCCGAGGTAGAACAGCTGGAGAAGGAGTTAGCGGAGGAGGGAGCGAAGAAAGCAGGTGGAAGACATGACACTTGCTGATGTAATTAATCCCAGATAGAGCCTTTCAGTTCTTTCCCCCCAAAGCAACAATAACGAGAAACCGATTCCAACAGACAGGCACGCAGGCCATAAATCCCACCAGCACTAAATGCTCCAATCATTCCAATCCCAAGTCCCGAATCAGCCTTTGCGGCTCCTATCTCTCCCAGAAATCCCTCCCGCATACCACACATGACCCTCATAACTTCATAATCCCATCATCAACTCCCCGTCTCCCCTCTCAAAACCTCTGACTCTTCCTGACCTTCAATCTCGGCGGTTCCGGATGCGGCGGCTGAACCGGTACCGGTATCATCGACCTCCTCTCCCCCTCCCTCGGCGGCTGAACCGGGATCGGTATCATCGACCTCTTCTCCACCTCCCTGAAGCCTCCATCCCTATCCCTCATATCCCTCTCCCTCTCCCGATCCCTTTCCCTATCCCTCAGGTCCCTATCCCGATCCCCCAACCTCTTCCGCTCCCTATCCCTCAGGTCCCTATCCCTATCCCTCTCCCTCTCCCGGTCCCGATCCCCCAACCTCTGCTCCCGCTCCATACACCTCTCCCACATCTGACTCCGATGATGCACCCTCTTAGGCACCGTAACCACCCACCCCCTCCACCCCCCAGGTCCCTCATCTTTTTCCACCGGCGGTCCCGCCGCCAACCCAAGTACATCCGCCACCCGTTCCGCATCAAACACATACTCAAAGTGCAACTCGTAACTCGTGTCCGTCTCGCCCGTCATCTTGTTGACCATGCGCACCACCAAAATATCCTCGATGGGGAACCCGCGCAGCTCGACGGTGCCGTCGTCCCAGGTTTCCAGGCCGAGGGCATGGGCATGGGCATCCCTTGAAGAGGAAGGGGGTGGGGTTGGGAGCCGCGACTGCATGCTTGCGACGTGCTGTCGTCGGAGAGAGGCGAGGTTGATGCGCTCCCGGTCGCCGGCGGTGGAGGGGACGAGGTAGTTGATGCCGAGGTGGCGGCGGCCGCCGGGGTGATGGGGGAGGGTGATTTTGAAGAGGTCTAGGATTAGGGTCGGCATCTTGTTGGTGACTGGTGAACTTGGGTTGTGAAGTGGCTGCGCACGGCACGAGGGGACTGCCGGAGTGGCTGGCGATGGCGTGGACGAGTAGTGGGTGCAGCGGCGCTGGGCGCTGGAAGTGGCTGTGGATGTGGATGGATGTGACGCTGTGGAAGAAAGGAAGATGCCGAAAGAAGGAGTTTGAGGCTTGGGAGAATCGAGTTAGCATATGATGTTGTAGCGTGCGAAACACATGTTGGCTGGTTAGGATGATGCTGGTTGGGATATGCTTGACAAACGCAAACTACGTAGCAAACGCAAGGTGCGGTGTGGAGAGCGGGCTGGCCGGTGACGAACACCTACTCACCGCGGACACTCAACGAGAACTTTGGATACAATGTGAATGGAGGCTTGAATTTGATCAATGGGTAAAATGAAGAAGCCGCGGCTATCAACCTTTTGTTCAGTGCTTTCCTGGTTGCAATCCTGCAGCAGAGATGCGTTTGTGAAGTGAAGAGAATAATGCCATCATCATCGTGGAGGTTAGGCGTTGGTCTCAGTGCCCAATGAACCGCTCCAATCCCCGCCAAGCAACGTCCAAACCGCTAACCAATCGGCTTGCGAGCGGAGCGACGGCGATCTGCAGGGTCGTGGTACTCCAGTCGCCATCAATGTCTCGGCGGCATGAATGGAGTGCACGAATTGATTGTCTTCAGATCGTTATGCGGGCGATACAACCTCAAGGCTTTGTTTCGGGATCCCTACGATTCGATTGAGATCATCTTTCTCGGGCCCGTTAAAACGACTGTCTCCTGTATTTAAACGACTGTCCCTGACCACACAAATCCAACCGGCCTTGGCGCAATCCACCATGCTGAATTGCCAAGATTGGTGTCCGCTCCCAACCAGAATCATCATTCAACATCACGACATTCAGAGCTCATCAACACGTCTTCTCAACGTCAAACCGGGATGATTAGTCTTCTCAACTGACGCGATTTTTCTGTCCCTCGTGGTCCTGACATATTCATGCCACTCCTCAGTATCATCCCGTATACTATTTGGCATCTTAATGCAATAGTCTTCCGTGGGCGACGTGTGCCAACTTCCGAATCCAACCAAATCCACAAGGGCATGCGCTTCTGTGGAGGACTTGAAATGAAGTTTATAAGCCACGATTCGGGCCTTTCCTGAGGACTCAGCACGCTTCGTGACCTTGACATTGATGAGATTAATGCCTCTGATCACGGTGGTGTCAGCGCCCACCCACTCCTCGATCCTCCATCCCAGTGTTCCCGTCAATTTGTCAAGTACACGCTGGAGGTGACGACGTTGGAGCGCAGCAATGCTTCGCCCTTCAGTGCTCTGCAAATAATCGGGTGGCACTTCGTAGGCGATACCGAGATCGTATGTTCCCGCTCTAGACTTCTCCAATGGAGCTGCAGGGAAGAACTTCCAGTTCAGCGTCGTCACCGTAACGGCACGCCGGGTGTCATCGATATTAAGCATAGCGGGCGTCGGATAGGTAGTACCTGCAGATGTGTGAAAGGCGAGTTAGCAGTCGTTGCATGGTGCTTGTGAGTCTCCTAAAGTTGGGGGAACATCAGTAGAGTTACCTTCGAAATCTGATCTCTGAGCTGATCAGTGTCTCCTTATAATGCTGTCTTCGCGTGGATAGACTACAATGACATTCAACTGAAGGCCGCCAGCCGTCAAACTTGTGGGTATGTAAGGTGATGGTTGAAGAGGTGAGAACAAAAGCTCGCTTGCGACAGCAACAACTCACAACGAGACAGGGATATGAGATGCTCAAGCAGTATGCGGCATACTTCTAGCTATACCCCATATACCTCCCACAGCCTGATGTGTTTGGGCATCAAAATCGCAGGAGTCGGGAAGAACTTCAGCCGCACGGCGCAGGCTGACCGCATGATGCCCTCTGTTGGGGAAAAAAAACCCAGAAGGGGAAGATATAATGAGAATGTCAAAACTTGATTGGCCACATTGGCGCTTCTAGGGTAAGATTCGGGTTGCCTACACAAGCACCCTATAGGAAGTACGTTAACGTGCAGCGCAGTTGAGGCACAGCCCCAATCACCAATGCAGAACACTACGCCATTCATACTTCTCGACTGGACTTGCCCGATATGAGACACCTAGACATAGACCAACCACTTTTGAGATTGGATTTCGAAACGTCCTGATCAAATTTGATCATATCAAAACATAAGGTAGGTAACCACAAATTGAAGCCCTTGGCAGTTTGCAGCTGGTTTTCATTTTCGTTTGCCGAGTCAACCGCACGTAACAGCATTCTGATGAGCTTCAGTTATTATCGGGCTGACCGCAAGTCTTCCGTTTCAGATCTCGAGAATACGACATCTTGCAGTGGTCCACTCGGGAAGCATCAAGCAACTGCAGTTTCTTGCTCAATGCTTGGCGGTCATGATTTCCATACTGTACCCCAGCGGCAGCCATGTGAAACAAGGATGTCGGTAGATGCTGAAGGACAAGGGGAAAGTTCTTCACTTGGGAGCGTTGTGATGGTGGCTGTTGAGGTCCACAGCCGACCAAATACTCCCGACGCTGCCAGGATAGCCAGTTCTCAGCACGTTGGAGCCAGTGAGTCTGTCGATACAGCACCGAAATGTCAGAAGATACCGCGAAGAAGCACCTCATTCGGAAGTTCAGCGGAACTGGAAGAAGAAGATGTTCCCGTACGGACACGACCTACGACTGTCGGATCCCCTCAACACCACTCACCTTTCAAATCTGGCCATGATACTCGAACACAACGTTCACTACATGGGAAGCATAAGGTACAAACCAACAATTGGCCTGAGAGCAGTCCAAAAAGTGCTGAAGCCGCAACATCCCCGGGACAGGACCCATCCCAAGGCAATGGACTCGAGGAGCAGCGCGAGGACAAGTATCATCATATATGGCAGGACATGCGGAAAGAGCTATATCAGCAGAATCTTGTAAAGCTTATATCACGACAACGACCTGGAGCACTCGGTTATATTGACAAGATGTCTGGATTGGCGACGGGTAGAAAGGAGAGCCTGATGAGTGCAAACTTCGGTTACCGGATTCACTTTGGCGACTTGCAAAGGATACACATCCAGTATCTGCACAGCAAACTCGTCAACTTGGCTGTTTCCGCACATTTGCACGATTCAGAGTGGAGGTCGGGAGGCAAAGCTGAGCAGATCGGGCAAGTGATGAAAGAATACAGTAAGTGTGACTTGAAAAATTTGATCCAAAGCCTCACAAAGGCGCCCATTGGAAGCAAAATTTTAACAGGTCCCGATGCACAGTCCAAGCAGTCAAGGACCACGAGTACATGGGAAAGTACGCCAACGCGTCCGACGACCCCTTCATCGCCACCAGCCAACGGCTTTACGACAAGATATTCCTCGAGTCAGCCATGACCGCCGAGGGCTACAAGATGCCCGAAGACTTCCTAGCCCCACCCCCGAAGCACAAACCACGCCCGCAGCACGAAACACCCGCTCAACTAGCCAACCTTCTCACGCAACACGCAACCTCCACCGGCCCCTGGGAGCGCGACAACACCAACAAACCAGCCGCTGCACTGATTAGCACACGGACGAGGGCCTGGAAGCGGGCGTACTGGACAAGAATTGGTGCTGCGTTGATCGGTGGTGCCTTCCTCATTGCGCCCATGTGGATTCTTGCTCTGCAAAGGAACCTTTTTATTCATTTGGGTGTTGCGACGGCGTGTATCACGGCTTTTGGTTTCTCTATTTCGCTTTACTTGGAAGCTGTCGATGGGGTGTTCGCGGCCACGCTAGCGTATGCGGCAGTTATTATGGTGTTCGTTGGTATTGTCATCGAGGAAACCGGGGCAAAAGGGACGTAATCGCGGCTTTCTGCCGTGCCATCATCGTGGGCGGGAGGTTAGGCGTTGGTGTCAGTGCCCAATATCTAAGGTACCTCTAGACTAGAGGTGGGTAAGCTGGCTGCATGCTAGGCGTGCTCTAGGTAGCCGATCCTACCTACTATGCACACCATCAGTCCAGTGGCAATAAACGCGGAAGCTTGAGGCTCGCTCTAACCAATAACCATGAACTACGTACCTAATGTAGGTTGATGCTGCCTCGCCGATTTTGGTTTTAAGCGACGGAGTAGGAGCAACCAACAAGCTGGATGATTGGTTACAGAGTTGAACGGAGAGGCTCGCCTGGCAGACAGTACAGAGGATGTGCTCAGATGATGGTGAGGCTCTCTAGGCTCGGGGCTCTCGTCGTAAATCGTGGCGTTGCTGAGAGCATACCTACGTCCTGGTAGATGCATGTTGCGAGGCTTTGGATGTTAGAAGGGGAGGAGCTAGATGCATTTTGGTACCAAAAGATGGAAAGTAGGTAGGAAAAAGGAACTTGGGCGAAAATCCCCGTGCAATTGGGCTTCATAACCAATTCTCTCTGGGCTCTTTCAACATAACATAGAAATAACATCACACATTCAGGGTCCACAGCATCTCATCCCTTGGTGTTGCGTTTCTCTGCTAACAAGGCAGGTGCAGTTGCAAATATGGCAGCCATCAAAGGGTGCGTAATGGATGTGAGACGAATGGGAGCAGTGATTGAGAAGTTGCTTTATTGGCGGCTTGTTTGGTTGAAGAGGAAAAGACGTGCCAGCCCCAGCTAAACTATTCTCTGCAGATGGAAACCTTGGGCGAAGAGCACCTTCCTAATGTCACAGATGTCATTAACATGGATCATTGATGGGGGTTTTCCAGGGGGATTATGGCAGGTGCAGAGGCCAGAGACACTGCACGATTACTCAGTGGTCGCGGGTTGCATCAAGTTTTCAGTTATGGCCATACCATTGAGGGCTTCTAACGAGAACATGTGGGATTTAAAACAAGATTTTTGCTCATAAACATGACGGTATTCGGTGACCTTTCACCCATTCAGTGTTTCCGCCGTCCAGTCGGGGTCGAGCTCATCCCTGAAAGCGGATACAAGGTGGGATACATAAGGCCAGCTTCCATCCGATCTTTCAACAAAGTCCGGTATAGTGTAACGGTTAACATATCGCGTTTTCACCGCGAAGCTCGGGGTTCGATTCCCCGTACCGGAGTTTCTTTTTTGTTGTTTTTTTCTTTTTTTGCATTCCATCCCATCATGGTCTTCCCTTCATTTCGTCACTTTCCTGGCTTTTATTTCTCGTTTGTTGGTCACGATGCTCTTTCAATCCGAACTTTTTGCTGCATCAGAATCAATCACCATAGAATCACCGGCCAAATCTCATAGCATCATACTCAACACCAGACCGTTCAATTTACATCAAGTCCAACAACTACCTCTAACCTACACATCCATCGTACAACCCAGGCCGACGACGTAGTCAACCAAACCCGTACCCTCATTAATCATGTGCCACCACCCCATTCATAAATCTATACACTCATCGTACAAATTTTCCATCCGGTAGTTCTTCCCCCATCACAAATCCCAAAGACAATGCCGCGATATCACCAATCAACAATCACCACCACCACCAAAATCCATCAAGTTTGTTTCCATTAATCCAAGTTTCAATCCATCAATCAACCCCCACCCAGTCCCACAACCACACAAGTCCATCCATCCAACCCCACAACACAATCCCAACTACTTCCGAGAGCTCTCGCAAGCTCTCGCAAACTCTCGCAAACTTCCTTAAGGCTCAAAGTGATCAATCAACCACCCCTGCCAATCATCTTCTCCGTCTTGCTGTTCAAAGGACGGTGGGCCGGGGAATCGTGCTGAAGATGGGAGGAGCTGCTTCTCGCGTCAACGCGCGGCTCAACGCTGGCCGACGGGTTGGGCTTAAGTACGATGTAAGCGCCAGTTAGACCGATGAGTCCCATTGCCAGGTAGCTATATTTTTTGTCAAGTACCCAAAAGACCCAACCCAACCCACCGGGGGGGAGGGAAGGGAAGGGGGGAGGGGTTTGGTTGTTAGCGGTCCATTCCATTCATTGTCGTTGTTACTGTGTACTGAATGAAACTAAAGGATGGGATGATGGGAGGGGATAATAGGAGGGGACCCAAAAAGACTTACAAAATAGTATTATCCGTCCTACTCCCCCCACCAACCTTCGCATCGCCAGCAGTTTTGCTCTCACTCCCCATCTCACTCGCCGTTTTCGCCGTGGACGAAGAAGGCGCCGCAGACGCAGACGCAGACTTGGTAGTCCCAGAAGCATCAGACCACGAAGTGGTGCTATACTTCTCATCCATCTCAATCGGGTAGTCGAGATCGGCGTCGATGTCAGCGGCGAGGGTCTCGGTCCCGGTAGTTTTTCCAGTCCCACCACGTTTGCCACGACCGGAACTGTCGGCGGTGGCGAACCGCTGTTGATAGTGCGGCGGCGAGCGCTGGATGGGGATCACGGTGGTGGGGAGGAAGAAGTGCCGGCTGGTGTTGGCAGTGGCAGTGGCGCGGACGCCAACTGGCCGGAGGACAGTTCTGTGAACGACACGAGCGAGGGTAGAGGTCGGCATCGTGACGGTGTTTGTTTGTTATTATTAATTGCTTGAGTTGTTGTTTTGGTTACGAAAGGTTTCGAGAGTGTTTTGGAAGTTTCGCAGTCACGGTAGGAAACTGAGATCGTGGGAACTATCGAGGTGTGCGAGGGTGTAGGATAAACACCCAAAGATTTCCTTATACCTCTTTTTCTCACCCTTTTGGCGGACTAGGTTCGTATGCGCAAAGGGTTGTTGGCATATGACGTATCGGTGACGGCCATGGCGGTGTGCTGAGGAGGAGAAGACACCGAGCGCACCGGAGATGGACTCCATGGGCGATTTGACTCTCGAAGGTCACTATGGCACAACGTCCGGCTGGGGTCACGGACCTACAGAATCACCCGTTAATTAGTTGATCAAGAAAGATGATTTGTCGTCTTAAAACTGGACGCGACAACCTTGTTGCCCTCTGCGGTCGCGTGCCTTGTCCCATGCGCATCACGTTCCGACATGGTGGACGAAAGAGAACCGGTGGTGTCCTGAGCAGAGTCAATTGGAAAGTTATTGACTACCCCCGGCCAGTACCATAACACCATATTAACACATCCCAGATCATGAAATACGATAAGCTGTACATATGCCGTCAACCACCCATCCGAGAGAACCATGGCTTCAGTATGTATACCATGGCCTTGCTAACGAGACCAGGATTCCTGCCTACCATGGCGCCATCAACTGCAAACAAAACAAGAAGCGAAAATAAGAAATGGGTATCATCAGAACATCTTTGCCGCGCCCTGGACTGCCAGCATATCCGCAGCGATGTTGCCTTCGTCCGTCCCGTGCCCCTTAACCCAGACGAACTTGGTCTCGGCGGCCCTCCCATCGCGAGCGTCGATCTTTTTGCGGATGGCCACAATCAAATCCTGGTTGGAGACATCCTCTCCCTTGGAGTTCCTCCAGCCGTTCTTCATCCAGTTTTTGTACCACGACGTCACACAATTAATGGTATACTGACTGTCGGTTCGGAGCTCGCAATTCTGGGTGTCCGGAATGGATTCCAGTGCTCGGAGGACGGCGGTCAACTCGGCGCGTTGGTTTGTTTGGACGGGCCCTTGGAGTCTCTCGGAGATGTTTCTGTTGAGAAGACGTGTTAGTAAACGAACCATCGCCACTGCCAGACTGCCGACTTACTCCCTGAAACCACCGCAGAAGTAGACACCCACCCCCGCCATGGCGCCGACCTTGCCGTTGCCTCTGGCGCTGCCGTCCGTGTAGATGATGACGGGCTTGCTAGCATCAAGGGCTTCCTGCGCCTCGTGAGCAGTCTGCGTAGCACCGGTTTTCCTAGCTTTCCTAGAGCTCTTCGCCGGCGCTTCGATGGCAATGACTTCCAGGTCATCAGTCTCGTCCACCTGTGGTACCTTGGCGGCTTTGGAGGAGGGCTTGCCACTCCATTGACGCACGAATTCCTCGGCCTCGGCGCGGGTCTCGAACTTTTTGTATTTGGGGTTCTTCCAGCCCACCACTTCCTGCTGGGCAATGGACCAGTCTGTGTAGACGCCGGGCGTGCGACCAACTGCGACGCCGTAGAACTTGGTAGGTGATGTACTCGAGGTGGCAGAGGCGACGGGCCGACCAGCGGCGAATGCGGAAGCCTCCTCGTAGCTCGTGAAGGACTTGAACTGGGCACCCTTGAAGCCAGTGATCTGCTGCTGGCAAAGGGTCCAGCTGGTGTAAACGCCGGGCTTGACACCAGCGCGCACGGCGTAGTATTTGGTCTCGGGTTCCATCTTCCTCTTTGGCGCCGGCATCTTGACGGGTATGTTGATGTTGAGACTGAGGAGCTTGTTGCCAACGAGTTCGAGAAGCTTTTTGTGACGGAATTGTTCTTTTTCTTCTTGTTGTTGTTCTGTTCGCAAACGGGATGTCTTGGGCTTGCGATGGCGAGATTGAAGTGCCGGGCGCTGGGCTTTAAAGCGTTGATGGGAGTTGACCAAGATCCTGAGCCTGCGACTGCGAAAGAAGTCGTCTAAGAAACGTGCCGGAGGATATACCGATAACTCGTTGTCGTGGTATTCGTCTTTGTTGGTCTCTTTTTGCGATGTCTCACTTTTCGTTTTGTTTCTCTTTCGGCGTCTCGTCGACAGGCAGCGCAACCCCGGTGGTCCAATCCTCGCGTCGTGGGCGTTCAAAGAAGCCGGCAAGGACAAGGAAGGCCGGCGATGCAGAGGAGAAAGCAGGCAGAACAGGCGGGGCGGGGAGGGAAGGAAGAGGAGGAGGGGGGACTGCCACTGAACGCGATGCAGATTGGAGGAACGAGAGGGGAACAGCGAGGGGAACAACATGCGCCGGCGTGGGATGGTGGGATGGATGGATCAGATGCTTCCTGCGATGTGAAGCGTCGGGTTTGCGCCTGCAACAGACACACGCCGCAGTGTAGGAACCACTGGGACGAGCAGTCGCAGCAATGGTCAATTCCCCTCTTCCGGCGCGTCAGGTACGCGGATAAGCTTCTGATAAGCGATAAGATAACCCAAAATGTTAATGGAAATGGAATTCAGGAACACGCAGTCAACCCTAACCCAGATACGTCGCCCCCAAAGTATTCCTGAGAGAAGTTCTCGCCAGTTTGGACAGGTCAAACAGCTCTTGATGCTTTGTTGCCGAATCATAACTATCGCATATGATATTCCATGCTCTTTTCAGCAGCAAGTAGCGGTGTTACAAAATATCCCAGTTGAGTGAGGTCTTGAGCTGGCGTGGGCTATTGCCTTGTCTTTAGGTTCTTGTAATCCGTAATCCGTGACAGCCCCACTCCAGACAATGGGTTTCTTACATCGTGAAACTCCTTTCATCAACAACCACGGTGACAGGCATGTTTCTGGTTCTTTGAGCGTCTGACAAGAGTCGCTAAAATATCAAATTTATCTGTTCCATTCAGGTTCCGAGAGTATCATAACTCAGGTAATCCGGAGATGCTTAACTTGACGAGACAGACGAAAGGCGTGGACGAACAATACCGCCTGGGTAAGTTTACAAAACATTACCGGGTTTCCATTGCGGTGTCATCCCATGAACTTTCCTGCGCGGTCATTCTTTCCCTCTTTCCCTCTTTCCCCCGTCTCTTCGATATTTTCTTTTTTCTTTCTTTTTTGTCTATCGATCAATTCCGACGGGACAACCTGGAGACCGACGCACAATGTGTTTCAAATACCGATGAAGCATACGCGAGTTTGATTGATTCTTAGAATCGCTTCATCGCACATCTCCATCGTTATACCACCGTCGACAATCCATCCTTTCCCTTCATCCATACATTCCGTCCATACACACCGACCATACATCTTCCACACCCCAATCCTTCCATCTTCTCCTCCTCACCCACCCCCTCACTCTCCCTATCACTTACTTCCCCAGTGACTGCCTCACCAAATCCAACAACAACGGCCCCACCCGACTAGCAATGATCTTATCCCCGCTCGCACTCGGATGCACTCCATCCCTCAAATCCGACGTCTTGAAGCCCGTATAACAATCCGCAACAACAATCGGCGACTCGGTGGTGTTGAGTTTCGCTGCCCACGCGGGGATCTGGGCGTTGATAGCCTGGATGGCGGCGTTGTTGAAGGAGAGGGGGATTATTTGGTCGACCTGTTTTTTTTTCTTTCGTTAGCCTCATCACCACTTCTTCCCTCCCCTTACAACTTCCATCACCTCCATCACCTCTCTCCCTTTTTTCCCTTTTTTCCCTTTTTGCCAAGTAAGGAACTGAAACACTCACGATGATTTTTATGCGTGGATTACTCCCCCTCATAATCCCCACCATCTTCCCATACGCCGCCATCACCTCGCTAGTACTCTTCCCCCTCGTCACATCATTCGTCCCCAACATGAACATAACTATGTCAGTAGGCGTCTTCTTCAGCCACCCTTCCAAATAATTATTCGCAATGTCGACGGCCAGCCAGCCCGAATGCCCCTCGTGGTGCTGGTCCCAGTTGGCCCCCGTGGCCGGCTTGCAGTTCTGCGTGTTGGAGTTTTGGGAGCCGACGTATTGGACGGACCCCGAAAAATTGGCGGCGGCGAGTTGGTCCCAGACTAGGGCGCGCCAGCAGGTGATTTCGGTTATGGAGTCGCCTAGGGGCACTGGGTGGGAAGGGGAGGGGGTTAGTTGGGGGACTGAAGACAAGAAGGATGAAGGAAGGGGTGGGAGGGGGATGAGGAGGAGGAGGAGGGAGAGGGGAAAGGGAGAGGGGAAAGGGAGAGGGGAAAGGAAGGGGAAAGGGAATGGTGAAAGAAAGGGAAGGGGTGAAGTACTGATGCGAAGCTTTTGAGGCGTAGTCTGCCGCTCAGCGAGCTCGACTGGGCTGGCTAGGGCTGCCGATGCCAGGGCGAGAGCGGAGAGGATGAGTTTAGGGAAGAACATGTTGATGGTTGCTGGTGTCAATACGTGGATGGCGGCTATGGTGGTGGTGGTGGTTTTTGATGGGAGTGTCTGTCGCCTCTTGTAAGTACCAGATCATGAACGGTCGGAGGAGCAGCAGCAGCTTTTATGTCCATCCGCATTACCACACCAAGACGCCGCATTCTCTCAATCAAGTTCTCCCAAACTTCCACATTCTCATCCCTAAACCTGATATAATCTCACATATTATCCAACCGACCGACCAGTTCATTTACTTAAGTCCGCAGACATATGCACATGCAATCCATATATCCGAATACCTTGATTCATTGCATGTTCACCACACCGGGTTCAAAGACAATGAGTGTCCAGCTGCAACCAAGTTCTCCCGTTTAAACTTCCATTCTCATCCCTATTAAACCTGATATTGATCCGTAGTAACTCGGGATATTATCCAACCGGCCAACCAGTTCAACTACTCAAGTCCGTCCGCAATGGCATATGCACATGAATGACATCCATCCATCCGAATGAATCCCTTGATTCATGTGAAGAGCAGTGGTCTCGTCTCAACCAATTGGCCACCGTAACCACTTTTTACAACTTCCTCGGGCGGGGTGGCAGATCTGGCTGGCTGTACCGATCGGGAAACATCATCAAAAACGTTTGCAACGGTGCAATTTATATCCGGCACTTATGGAATAGATTGGACGCGCAATTTATTCCGGTTGGCATTGTTCTGGTTTCTTCCGGTTGGGACGCTTCGTCGGTTTCCAACAGTGACACTCTCGTTCGATTCCCCGTTGTGACACAAAACAGGAGCGACGCTGGGCCAAGCGGGAAGTGGGAAGCGGGCCAAGCGGCTCAATGCGCATCTCGGGGACGGTTGGAAAGTCGGTGCGAGATGGATCCGGGGGCCGAACAGCGTCGAGAATAGGTGACATTGATGAATGGATGAGTGTTACCAAAAGCAAAAGAATTTACATACTGGAGTGTGTTTGAATCAAATCGTATGCACCTCGGCGATCAATGTGCGATCATGACCACATGACGCTGTTACACAAAGACTTTCAATGCAACTTCAATCGTGACGCAAGAAGATCATCAAGGGTATAATAGTCTGGAGCGCTAGAGATAAGGTAAACTTGGAATCCCATCGACAGACACCCTTTTCCTCCGGATGACCCGGAGACTAAATAACGATCAGTAGTAGCAAATACCACCGACATCGTCATCCATGGTCCAAGAACCGGCCAAACCGGGCAGGACAGCCTCCTCGGCCTGGGGCGCGACCTGCAGCAGGCCGGCGCCCTCTTCAGCCTTTCCAGCAAAGAAGTCGCCCTGGCCCTCGGTACGAATCACACGACTCATGAACCGGTGAGTCCACGCCTCCACGGCCGGCTCTCCCGTCTCGTCGCGGGCCTGCTTAAGGAAAGAAATGAGCGCCGTTCCACCGGTGCCCTTGAGGTTATCCTTCTTTCCATCACCACTCCTGGTGTCCAAGGCAATTCCGGGAGGACCCTGGCGGGACGCGGTCGCCAGGTTGACCTTGCGCCGGACAGCCTCGGGACTGCGGCTGCGGCTGCGAGTGCGCACTTCCCTGCTGGGCAGGACAATGTACCGAGTCACAATGGCAATGTGCTTGTCGCGGAGAGCACGCAGCATGGCCAAGCAGGCGTCGTAGGCAATGCACAGCGGGCGGTCGTCGCGGTGGTCCTCGACAAACTCGCGGATGTTGGCCACCGACTGCACATCGTTGAGGAAGCGGGCATGAGGACCGGGCATGTACTTGCGCATCTCCAACAAGAAGTTGTGCTTGGGGGCCGGGGCATGGCCCTCGCCTTGGTCCTGGGGCCGGCCGCGCTTTTCGCCCGTGGGGCGGTGTTCGATGCCCAAGACGATATCGAAGAATTGGATCAAACTGCTCTGGGCATTACTGCCTCCGGCGTACTGACGGTACTCCTCCTTTCCGGACCCGTCCTCATAGATGACGCCATGAGGTAATCCGGCATCGGCCATGTTTTTGGAACCGGCGAGGAAAGGGCGAATGCGGTCATAGAAGATCTTGGGGTCGCAACTCTCGTGCATGCGCTGCAAGAGGGTGGTGAGATCGTCAAGACGTTCGGCAAACGTGTGCAGACAGCGAGTGACGGTTTCGGCATCACCCTCGCGAGCTGCGGCAATGGCAGTCAGCATGAGCGGGATGATGGGCGCTCCACGGGCCTCCATGGCGACCGAGACCAGGTAGAACCATGACTCGTCGATGGCGCCGGTGAAGGTGCTGAGGGTGGCGAGGTTCTCGAGGTTGTCGATGTCTTCATCCATGAAGAGAGGCTTGAAGTTCCAAAGACAGACGGCTGCGTAGGTGGCGACGGGCGGCACCTCAAGATGTTCCGAGATCTTGAGCAGGGGGACTGCAATGGAAGGTGGCAGACGGTCACTGGGGCTATCACCGCTCCAGATGTAGCCGTGGGCCATGAAGGACAGCAGCGAGTAGGCTCTGCGCCATTCTGCGTCGTGTTCCAGACCGATGGTGTCGAGCACAGGGAGACGATCAACGACTCCGCGAAGTCGCTTGCTGAGGATGAGAGCCTGTAGGTTGGCGGCAATGGCCTCCCACTTGTTGTAGTAGGGATCCGGGAGTCTCGTCAACGGCAGGACGTCGGGGAGGAAGCCATGGGTTGGAGAGATTCCATAGTCGGCCAGGATGGGGATAGGAGGAAACATGACTTATATGTTTTGGTGGTGATGGTAAACAAGAAGTCTGTTGCTTAGGTGATACTCTAGGGATAAAGCCTAGGTGATGATGTTATGAATTGGTGGTGATGATGGTTCTTGTAAAGGAACTAAAAAGACCTGACGCAAGGAGTATACAGAATGTTCTCTGTAATACTCCTCAGCCGTGCGATATTCTGTGTAGCGTGTCGCATGTACCTCGATGGTGGTGAAGATGGTGGTGAGAAGAAGAAAGACAAAAGGTCGGATAGAAATAAAAGTGGAAGCTTTGTTCTTTTTGTACTTGTTGGCAGAGGAAAGCAGTGTCAGACAAGTACCTTTTCGGTGTGTAATATATGTAAAAGGTACTTGTAACATTGTCAGAGGCCAGTGGATCCACTAGGTATGCACGTGCCCAGCTGGCTTGTGGGTCCAAATGGTGTGACATTAGGATTGGTGGGTGGGTGAGTGTGGTGGGGATGTTACAACTATTTGGACCCGTAGGTATAAAGAGACGCAAGGGCTATACGTAGGTGGCTGAGTAAATGAGACTAGGATATACGAGATTTTTACCTAGATGCCAGAGCTTCAAATCTACAGAGCTAGTCTTATACACATATACACAATCAGCCACGTTGAACACATATTAATTATTACTAGTAATATTATAATTAAAAGTCTTATTAATTTGACCATTGAAGCTATCGCCAGTAACGATAACTGATTAAATGATTATTAATAGTATTTACGATTAAAATTAATAGCGTTATTTTCAACGGCCCTAAAAATTGGCCAGCTTAGGAAGATACCTTTATCTCTATAGCCCAAAACCTAGGTCTCTAAAAATATATCGACCCGGATAACCGCATTCCCTAGCTAACCGAATTAGTAGAACCTAATATCGCTAATTACTAAGGGTTAATTCTAGTTAGAAAAATTAAGGAAGCTAAAAAAGATAAGGAAACTACCCTATCAATTACCGTTAAACAATATAGTTTCTATTATAAGCGCGACTACTATAATTATATAATTAAAAAATTAGATTAGCGTATAGAAATTAAAACCTTTTCTAATTTGGGTACTAAGAAAACTACGCTAAATCGCTAAATATTTAAAATTATTAGGGATAATTACCGCGAAACTAATTTTACTAAACGTACTAATTTATACAAATAGTACAATAATCTTAATAAATCTACCGCTTTTAACGATTATTAAGTAAAGAAATTCGCCCGGGCTAAATTTATTAATATTTTTAAGCCTCCTAATAAAGGTAATTATAATTAATATAATTAAACCTTTTAATAGGAGGCAGCTATAGCCTTTTATATTATTAAAGGAATTATTAGAATAAATAAACTGAACTTATAATTCTTAGAATTCTATATAATTATATGGTCGAATCTTTATACCGCTTAGGTAAATAATTACTAACTTTAATATAATAAAGAGATCGAAAGAAATTCTAATTTTAAAATCTCTTTTCATACTATAGCTAAGGATTTTCGTAAAGTAATAATAATAAATATTACTTAAAAAAAGGGTCGCGCTCCTTTATTTAAAGGTACTATATTTGTAATTACGTTAAATAATAAGCCCGTTAAAGAAGATATTCCTAATAACGAATAAAACCCTAGCCCAGAAATAGAGGGACGGAGAGAGGCTATAAATAAGAATAGTAAATTTAGGAAGAATATTAATAAGAATAAGTATACCTCCTTTTTATCTTTATTAATAAATAAATAATTATACTAATCCCTATATAGATTCTATAAGTAGCCGGACTAAAATTTGGATAAATATTATTACGTTAGGTTATAATTAGCCTTCGAAAATTAAATCGAAAGTCCTACTATTAAGAAGCGCGCGCTCGCTAATTTAAAAAAGGATAAAATGTTTAAAAAGGCCGTTAACTGTCTATAAATAAAATGGAACGATAAGGATTAAAATAATTAATTCTATAATCGCTGGGTAAATAAAAATAGTTTTTTAATACCTATAATGAAACGTAACGATATATACTTATTAAGAGATTCTATAATCCTTAATTTAAACATAATAATATATATCTTTAATAAAATTAATCGCTTTAAAGACTTTACCCCTTTAAATACTAATAATTATATATAGGCAGGAAATAAGCGGATTCCTATAGAGGGGTATAATATTATTATAATTACAATTTAGGACAATAATAGCAATAAAGAATTCTAATTCCCTAATATCGCTCTAGTACCGGGTATAGTTTATAACCTCGTCTCTTTAAAATAATTCGAAAATAAATAAATCTATTAGAATTATAAGAA